CTGGAGGTCTGTATAGACAGGCAGTGAAGAGGTCATGTGATTGGGTTTACAACCAATGAGAAGGCAGAACAGAAAGTCAATAAAATGACAGACACACAGGAAGTAGGTCTCTTTCTGAGGGGAAGGACAGCAGCAAAGGGTAAGAAGGCAGTTTTAAGTCTCAGCTCTTAGCTATTGCTCTGACCTCTTGGGCTTTTAACTCTGCATTTGGCTCTGTATTTCTTATTTAATAAGACCGTTACATCTACAATATACCACAACATAACAATAATGCAAAATAATAATAATGCAAAAGATGCAGTTAGTGCATCCAGAGGGAAGGCGGGGATAGGCAATTCCACACTTGCAGTCTGACCCAGGAATGCCTGAGGAGTCCAAGATAGAGATGATCTAAAAGGATAACGAAGAAGCAAGCTGGGAAAGACAAAGGGGCAAACAAAGATACTGCCTGAGAAGCGGGCAGCATGGGAAACCCAAAACTCAGCATCAGGAAAACTGACAGCGTTCTGTCATCAGCAAGATAATGGGCAGGCTGCCAGGCTTTACTTCATAACCTGTTTTTCTGTTGAAGCTAAAGGACATTTACTGACTATAGGCAAGGAGGAGCACACAGGTAGAAAGCTGAAAGGTTGGTTAAAAGCTATTATCCAAAGTGGTAGAAAGGCCAGGAATGGTGGCACTTATCTTTAATCCCAGCACTCAGGAGGCAGAAGCAAGCAGCTCTCTGTGAGTTTGAGGCCAGCAAGGGCTACATAGTCAGACCTTGTCACCAAAGGAAAAAAAGAGAGAGAGGCAAAGTAGAGTGCTGTCTGTCTATACCTCAGTGGCAGAGTACTTACCCAGCATGTTTGAGGCTCTGAATAGGATTCTCAGAACCTTGGGGATGGGGAATAGTATAGTTTCCTGGGTATCCAGGAGAAAGTACAAAGTCTTGACCAGCTCTACAGAATTCTCTTTGTTAATTAATTTGAGACTTTCTCACAGAAATGGAAAAGGGTATATAGTCAATACAGGGCTACTTAGCAATATTTATCATAATGCAAATGCCTTATTTCCAGTAGATATGCTGCACACTACATATACAAAGAGAACAATTTTTATTTTTAACTTTTTTGGAGACAGGGTTTCTCTGTATAGCCCTGGCTATCCTTGAACTTGTTCTGTAGACCAGGCAGTCCTGGAACTCAGAGAACAGCCACCACCCCACTTCTTCCCTCCTCCCCAGCTTGGAGACCCCTTTGTAAGGAGAAGAATGGAAAGCATTTAACTATGGCCCACTGTGCATTTATAAAGAATTAAGCAGTACTTTTTTCCAGGACAGGATGGGAAGGTGGTGGTTCTTGGACTGACCCAGGGCCTCATGCTTACTAGGTAAATGCTCTGAGCGCCACCCCAGCCCAGGAGCTCACTCCTAAAATGGAAAAAGCAAAAGTACACAGTGTAAAAAGAAAAGATTGGAACAGAATTGATAGTATGCAGCTTGTGATTTAAGAAATTAAAAACTGCCAGATGGTGGTGACACACACCTTTAGTCCCAGCACTTGGGAGGCAGAGGCAGGTGGATCTCTGAGTTCGAGGCCAGCCTGGTCTACAAAGTGAGTTCCAGAACAGCCAGGACTGTTACACAGAGAAACCCTGTCTCTGGGGGAAAAAAAACAAAACAACAAAAACCAAACAAATAAGCAGAAATAATTCTCAATATGCACACCATGTTACAAGTGGAGCAGAGGTAGGGATAATAATAGCACCCATCTGTAATCCCAGGATTGAAGAGAGGGCAAGGATTGAAGAGAGGGCAAGGCAGGAGGGTCCTGAGTTTCAAGCTAGCCTGAACTACATAGTGAATTTGAAGACTATCTGAAAAAGGAAAGCAAAACCAAACAGATGAAAAAGCAAAAACCTTACAAAAATCAAAAAAGGGGGATTTTAAGACGTAATTAGTTGGCCGAGGTTTGGTTAACATACATGAAGCCCCAAATTCAATCCTGAGCACTTTATAAACCAGATGTGGTGGTGGACATCTGTCATCCCAGAACTCAGGAAGTGCAGGCACAAGAATCAGAAATTAAAAGTCAGCCGGGCGGTGGTAGCGCACACCTTTATTCCCAGCACTCGGGAGGCAGAGGCGGGCAGATTTCTGTGAGTTCGAGGCCAGCCTGGACTACAGAGTGAGTTCCAGGAAAGGCGCAAAGCTACACAGAGACACAGAGAAACCCTGTCTGGGG